TACAGCAGTTACTCCAAGGGGGAATACAAGATCCCAATCTCACATTGCAGATTCAGAGGGGAATGGCAAGGTTTCCTTAGCTCAAAAGGGATGTATGCAGTCACAAGTGAAACCGGGGCTGGTTGGATTAAAATTTATGCTCACAATTATACTGGTGTATATCTTGCTCATCCGGCAATGAGTGAGCGTTTGGAACAGACTGACCTTAAGAATTTCCATCTAGCGGATTTAACGTGAAGATGGTTTGTGAGATAAAATGTTGAGCTCAAGAGTAGCTTAGGGTTTACCATTTTGGAGAGAGGCGGCTTATTAGTAGTTGGTGGAGCTAAGACTCGATCAGGAAGTAATGGCGTCTTAGAGTATGCTGGAACTCATGGAAGTTATTTGTGGTCTTCTTGGGACTTTTCTCTTCATGACAGGTCTAATCTGAGAGGTTTTCGCTTTCACTCCTTCCATGTATGGAGGATTCAACAACTCCCTTGTGCATGGACCTTGTTGTGAGGCTTATGTGGAGAGTTCGGCAACAGATCCATCCCGACCCGACCCAATTTTCCTTACCCGGCCTTTTACAGATGGGTCATTTTCGACCAGGGCCTCGGTCAGGTCAACCCAAACCTGGGTCGGTTATTTATTTGTACCCTATTCTTGCCAGCCAATCTGAGCAGATCGGCGGTTTCACCTGCCGATCTGCCTGGATCGGGAAATTCCAAAGCTCACCGCTGATTCACCACTGAGGTTCGGCCGTGCGGGCCAATGTGCCTCATACTTCTATGAGCTTAATTTCTTACGTGGGCATCCTCGGACTCACTCCCCTACTTGCCCGTCATCACAGGACTGAGCGCAGAGTGCTCGTTGGTCAACAGGCTGGTTTCGCAGCACGAGGCATATGCCTGCCCATCCGGATGGGCCCCACACCAGCCGACCCTTGTTGTGGGTGCAATGTACCCGGTTCATCATCCGTGTTGGTGATTGATACCTCAGTCCTTGGACGAGATTCCCCTGGTTATGCTAGCATTGGTCCAGAGGGGGGATGGTGGCTGACTCTCTCGCCAGTCCAAGGGCACCTTCCACCCCAAATGCACCGGTCCAAGAACAACCTTGCGATGCATAGTTCCTTGTGAGATATATGTGGCCATCATGATTAAATATCTACACCCAGTATTACCACAAGCTTTTACTCTCGGATCATTAAAAAGGTCGCAAGGGTCCTGGGCATGCCATACGAGGTTTGCGTGGGACTATGATTCAAGGCAAACCAGTGCAGTTCGACCTTTGGTAGGCCAACAAATATCAAATCTTTCCAGATCCGAACAGGCCGGCCAATTGTTCAGCCTGGACCAAGTTTGCATGTCTGCTTATGCCTCGTGCGGAGTACATTACTGGTGATGGCATCCGTCCTTCCCACATACTCGTGCGTTGTTGGCAGGACCCATCTCGTGGGTTCAAAGAATTATGGATGGCTAGCCATGCCCTGCTGCATGGCTCTCAGGTCTCATATGTGACTACACGCCATTCGGATTGGAATTTAGTCCCCTCATGTACGGCAGAAGAAAGCTGTGGTCTCAAGCGTGAGCTTTGGAAGAACCGACACTAGCTTTAAGTGGAGTAGGTTCAAGTAGAACCAGACCAAGCTTGGCCCAACTCAAGTGTACGGGTCATAGCAAGGTAGGAATAGTATCCAACCCAGACCCTCCCTCCCGACCCCATTCCAGTGTCATGTCTGGCCATGGAGGCAAAACCCACACTGGCCAAGATTCTACTCTTGCTCTCGCTAGTTTGAAAACCGATACGGTTTTCCCATACTTTCTATCAAGGGTAGCACTAGTAACATTTGAGAAACATGATTGTGCGGGAAGGAGACATAAGTTCAGCGGTCAGGCAAGAGCCAGCCCAGTTGCATAAAAAAGGAGTATAGGGCACAACCAAGGCGAACACTCCTACCCATCCGGCCATGGCTGACTTGCTGCAAGGAGGTCATGTATTCTGTCCACCATGGCAAGCATGTTAAGCCGTGTCCACACGGATTTGGCAGTGGGAGATGCTCATTGTCAGTGGGCACTGTTTGCCGGTTGTTTACATCAAGTAGCAATTTGAATCAATGCTGATTCATTGCATTATGGCCCTGCCATGTGATGGCCTGATACGAGCGTGCTTGAAGCCAAATCCATACGGAATTGAAAGGCCAAGAGCTCAATGTGGTAGATTTGGTGGGGAGATTCCAGATTTACACGGATTAGAGAGAAGCCCCTGCCTGTCACCATGTGATGGACCTCCCATAGCGTTGTGAATCCATCCCATTTACGCTGATGGGCCTTGATGGCCCTGATGGGCTGCCCCGGCTCTCCTTGCTCATGCCCAAATTGAATGAAAGAACAGCTGAAGCAATAGTTAAAGGAATGAACCACAGCCATTCAAGCCAAAGGTGAAATTTTATCAAACTTCCTTGATACTGACAGGCGTATAAGGTTGCTCATGCTGCCGATGGTTGATGGAATAGACCCATTCAGTTTGTTACTCCATAGAGTCCTAAGGATGTACACACGCACAGAGTTCCGTCCGAGGAATAAGAGGGATACAGCAAGCAGTTGGGGGGAGAGGAAAGTGGAAATGGAGTCTAAACAGACCGTGAGAGTTGAACACGTAAACATTACAGCTTACACACACACTCTAATAGGCGGTGTTGGAAGTGGGAGATGTTACGCTCAGATTTAAATGTCACTCGAGGTACTTGTTTTAATAGGTTGCCTCCAACTTTAATCACACACATGTTTTCTATACTTCACTTTTGGCTTTGAACAGATTTTGTAACAAGCAAACATCAGAAGAATGGACAACAGGAGATACTGTAGAATGAGGATCGGTGAACTTGAGGCACAATGAGAGAAGAACAATATATCCTTAGTAGGAAGATGGTACAAGCCTGAAAGGCTAGAGCAATGTCCTTTCCAAGGATGAGTTCTAGAGAAGTGGGAAGCCACATTTATGTGGCTGAACTCTTGAGGCTAGCTGCAGCACCTCAAAGCTGAGGGCAGGGCTAGCCAACCTTGCCAAGCTAGCAATTGAGGCCACATGTTGCACATGTGGGCCAGGCTGGAACAACAGCCTACATGGCAGCATGTGGCACACCATAGGAGCCAACAAGGTGAGTATGGGATGGGTGGACAGATGGCAATGCCAACTGTGACCATACTTCACTGTGGGTGAGTGTGGTGGAGTGTGGGAGTGTCATGTTCGGCATAATGAGAAGAGAAGGTGCTGCCGATAAGAGTTGAACCCGCGACCACTAAGACCAAAGGTACCCACTGGGACATTCTTGCTTCCACAACACCCCCCCTCAAGGATGTCCCCGGGGTAGGGTGCCTCAAGAGGAAACATGGGTGAGACCGAGAAGACCACGGATGCGAAGAAAAGGGTCACGGGGCAAAGGCTTGGTCCCAATGTCAGCGAGGTTGTCTTGAGTCGGAACATAGTGAAGGGTGATGGAGTGGTCGGCAACATGATCGCGAATGAAATGGTGCTTGATGTCGATGTGCTTGGCCTTGGGATGAAAGACGCCATCGTCCTTGGCGAGAATGATGGCACTGTTGTTGTCACACGAGATACGGGTGGGGCCGGTAGGGGGAAGTCCAACTGCAGTAAGGAGCGAACGAAGCCATAATGCCTCGTGCACCGCGGCGCCCAGAGAGTAATATTCAGCTTCACATGAAGAGGTAGCAACGACGGCTTGGTGTTTGGACTGCCAAGAGATGAGTGACGGACCAAGGAAGAACAAGTAGCACGTAACAGAGCGACGCAGCTCCCCCTCCGGTCCCCAAGAGGCGTCACACCAGCCATGAAGTTCGAGGGTGTCGGGAATGCCACCAAGGAGAAGCCCAAGGGAGGTAGTCCCTTTCAAGTAGCGAGCAATGCGTTTGGCAGCCGAGACGTGAGGAGTAGACCAATCGTGAAGGTGACGAGCAAGAACTCCAGCGCTATATGCGAGGTCGGGACGGGTCCCCACCATGGCATACATGATGGATCCGACAAACGAGGTGTAAGGGAAGGAGGAGGAGTGCGGGGAGGAAGTCACAGGTGGCTGAAACTTTGTGTCCATGGGAGTGGCAGCGGGGTTCAGTGGAGAGAAGGAGTAGGTGTCTAGAATGGAGGTGATGAATTTGGATTGATGAAGGTGGAGAGTGCGGGAAGTTCGATCACGAGTGATGTGAAAGCCAAGGTAGTAGGAGAGAGGTCCGAGGTCACGAAGTTTGAAGCGAGATGAAAGGGCATGCTTGAATGAGGCAAGAAGAGAGGAGGAGGAGGAGAGAATGATGAGGTCGTCAACATAGATGAGAAGCATGAAGAAGGATGCAGCTGTAGGCCGATAAGGTGAGTGAGGAGGAGCAATGAAGAGGCCGGGGTCCGCACGAGCAGCAAAGAGGTGAAAGGCAGCAAGCTCCTCACGAAGCTTGCGGTACCAGCATCGCGGAGCTTGCTTCAACCCGTACAGCGGTTTGTGCAAGAGACAAACTTGCTCAACACCATGGACCGCCGGAAGGTCATAACCGGGAGGCTGCATCATGTAGAGAATCTCATCAAGGGTGCCGTTGAGGAAGGCGTTGGAGATGTCCAGCTGATGGACGTCCAGGTTGAAAGCGGCAGCTATGGTGAGAAACAAGCGGAGGGTGGCGAAGCGGACGGTAGGAGCAAAGGTGTCATGAAAATCAACACCATCACGTTGCTTGAAGCCTTTGACAACAAGGCGGGCTTTGCGGCGTTCAATAGAACCATCAGCGTTCTCCTTGACCTTGAAAATCCATTTGCATGGAATCGGCTTGCACTTGGGTGGTCGAGGAACAATGCTGTAGGTGTCATTAGCGTGCAGGGCAGCGAGTTCCGCATCAGCAGCCTTGATCCATTCGGCAGCATCAGGGCCGGTACGAGCCTCATGAATGGTTTGAGGTTCGTAATGATGGTGAAGGGCAGCATTGGCAGAGATGTTGGAAAGAGGAGGAAGAGTGAAGTCAATGGGTTCGGAAGGGGATGGTAAGACCTTGAGGAAGGAGAAAAGGGAAGGATCGGGAAGAGCTGAAGGGGATGGCGGGGAGGAGCGAGTCGTGCAATGGGGAGGGGGAGGCGAAAGAGGGAGGAGAGAAGGATGGAAGGTGAAAGTCTTGCGGCGTCGAGGGCAGAGGAAGGTTGGAAAACAATGGAGGAGGAGAAGATGTGGCTGGTGCGGGCAGGTTTGGGGATTGTGGGTGGGGGTTGGTGGAGGAAGGTATGGTGGGGGAAGGAGAGGGAGGGGAGATTGGGTCCAAGGAAGAAGGGTGTGTAGGAGGAGGTAGTGAGGAGGATGTGGGTGGAGATGACGATGGAGGGTCGCGAGAGTCGTCGGAAGGCGGTGCAGAGGGCTCCATGAAGATGACATCACGAGAAAGGATGACACGGTGCTGAGATGGGATATAGATGCGGTAAGCTTTGGTGCCGTCGAGATGACCATATCCAACCATGATGCCGGCCGTGCTTCGGTCGTCGAGCTTAGAGCGCCGTTGGGAAGGAATGAGGACCGAGACGGGTGAACCGAAGATGCGGAGGTGTGATACATCCGGACGTGCACCGGTCCATAGTTCCATGGGAGTCTTAGAAGTTGAACCACCCCGACTAATGGCATGATTACGAAGATAGGCAGCAGTAAGAGCGGCTTCACCCCACCAGCCTTTGTCCATGTGTGCATCATGGAGCATGGAACGGACCATCTCAAGTAAAGTCCGGTTGGCCCGCTCAGCTACTCCATTTTGCTCAGGTGTGTATGGCGTGGAGAGGTGGCGGGCGATGCCATGAGCTGTAAGGAATGAAGTGAAGGCTTTGGAAGTGAACTCCAAGGCACCGTCAGAGCGAAAGGCTTTGATGGTGTGTGGGGAATGCATGTTGTGCACCCGAGTGACGTAAGCCTTGAAGCATGAAAGTGCCTCCGACCGGTGGCGTAGGAGATACACTGTAATGTGGCGGGAGTAGTCGTCGATGAAGGTGAGAAGGTAGCGAGCGCCGCCAATGGTAGTTCCATATGAAAGCGGTCCAGCAATATCTGAGTGAATGAGTTGGAGTGGGGCTGTGGTGCGAGAATGGGACATGCCAAATGGCTGACGTGTTTGTTTCCCACGATAGCACGAGATGCAGGGGGGAATCGAGGTGGAGGAGAGGTGAAGACCGGTGACCAGCTGCTGCCGATGAAGTGTTGACAAGGCCTGCATGTTGAGATGCCCGAAACGACGATGCCAGAGGTACGAGGAGGTGGTGGTGGAGGCTGGACATGCAGTTGGCTTGATAGAAGGAGCAGCACTGCTCCCATGATGCAGTTGAAGATAAAACAGATTGTTGCGGGTGTAGCCCTCGCCAATAGGAACGTCATCAGATGTGAGAACAACGCGCCCAGCAGCGGGGAACGAGACGGCAACGCCGGCAGCACCAAGCGCACGAACAGAGAGCAGGTTGTGAACTGATGAAGGGAGAAATAGAACGTTGTCAAGCTGAATGGTGGTTTCCGATGTTGGTGACCGAAGAGTAGCCACCACCGTGCCGACTCCCAAGACCTTGTAAGTCTCTCCTCCACCAAAACGAACAAGGATCTCTTCGTTGGGCTTCTTGAGAGACGAAAACAGCGAACGATCCGAGCAGATATGGGAGGATGCGCCGCTGTCCACCAGCCACGACGAAGTCCGCTCCATATTGAATGAGGAGGCCGTGAATGCCGATGCGTAGGGAGCCCCATAAGGGAAGAGGAGGAGGAGAAGGAGGATGGTGAGAATGAAGACAAGCAGCGACGAGAGGAGTCCATGTGGAGAAGATGGGGTGGTGGCTGGTGCTGACAGCAATGTCCACGTACCGGGAATCAGGTACGGACTGAGGGGTTGATGGGGCAGGAGGTGGTGTGGGGGTCGGAGTAGCTTCAGCAGAGGAGCTGGTGGAGACATGCACCGAGGGTTGGAAGACGGATTTCTCCCGTTTAGAGCTTTCTTCAAGCTCTTTCTTCTTCTTCAATTTGAAGCATTCATCGATGGTGTGACCCGTTTTCTTGCAGTAACGGCAGGTGGGCGACTGGCGTGAACCGGAGCGAAGAGAGTGGGAGGGCTGGGAATTGAGGTTGTATGCACCCTCCATGTTACGGCTTGTACCAGATTGTGACCGCTCCCAATCGGCATCGAGTAGGCGTGACTGTAGGTATTCAACCGTCATAGACTTTATGTCTTTCACGGTGCAAATGGTTTCAGTAAGGGTCTTGAACGAGTCCGGAAGGTTGAGGATGATGGAGATTACCACCACCCATGATGGTAGCTCAAAGCCGGCAGATTTGAGTTGGTGTGTAAGGTTTCCAACTCGATCAAAGTAGGAGCAAAGACTTGTTGTTGGGTCCATCCGTGTAGTGATGAGATCCCGGAGGAGAGCCACTTGTGCATGGTTGCCCATGCAGTCGAACCGCGCCATGATGCATCCCCACATATCCTTTGTCGTGTTGGCTTGAGCAAGAGTGAGCGATAGTTGAGGATGGACGGCTGACATGAGAAGATAGTATGCATGCTCCTCTTTTTCTTCATCCGGCAGCGAAGCAATCGAATGGGCTGTCTTAGGGGCTGCACCGCTGTTGCCTTCGGTAGTCTCTCCACCGCTGGTTGTGGAAGAGGAGATTGAAGGACGCGAAGCAACCTTGGGATCTCCAAGGAGGGAGATCAGCCCGAGGACATTGAAGATGTAGCAGATCTTTTTCTTCCATGGAATGAAGTTGGAACCATCTGGTTCCAAGATGGGAAGGGTGTGCCGACCGAGAGGCGTTTCAACTTGAGCCATGAAGTGTGCAACGTTCACTAAGCTAGAAGCCTTGCTCTGATAGCATGTAGAATGAGGATCGGTGAACTTGAGGCACAATGAGAGAAGAACAATATATCCTTAGTAGGAAGATGGTACAAGCCTGAAAGGCTAGAGCAATGTCCTTTCCAAGGATGAGTTCTAAAGAAGTGGGAAGCCACATTTATGTGGCTGAACTCTTGAGGCTAGCTGCAGCACCTCAAAGCTGAGGGCAGGGCTAGCCAACCTTGCCAAGCTAGCAATTGAGGCCACATGTTGCACATGTGGGCCAGGCTGGAACAACAGCCTACATGGCAGCATGTGGCACACCATAGGAGCCAACAAGGTGAGTATGGGATGGGTGGACAGATGGCAATGCCAACTGTGACCACACTTCACTGTGGGTGAGTGTGGTGGAGTGTGGGAGTGTCATGTTCGGCATAATGAGAAGAGAAGGTGTTGCCGATGAGAGTTGAACCCGCGACCACTAAGACCAAAGGTACCCACTGGGACATTCTTGCTTCCACACTTCACTGTGGGTGAGTGTGGTGGAGTGTGGGAGTGTCATGTTCGGCATAATGAGAAGAGAAGGTGCTGCCGATGAGAGTTGAACCCGCGACCACTAAGACCAAAGGTACCCACTGCCGATAAGAGTTGAACCCCCTTTTTCCATTGTTTTGAATGGATGGGTTGCTGTACTTCAAATGTGGTGCTCAGTTGAATTCTCCTTACTTTGGTTAGCCCCACGATCTCTCTGTTCTTCTTACTGCCCTAGTTTCATGAAACATTTTCCTTCAAAAAGCCCACCAGCAGCATCCCACTTCGCATACTGGTGCATCATCATCCTAGAGTGCTGGTCTGGTTCTTCCTTCTTGCATTCGTACGTGTAGAATGAGGATCGGTGAACTTTAGGCACAATGAGAGAAGAACAATATATCCTTAGTAGGAAGATGGTACAAGCCTGAAAGGCTAGAGCAATGTCCTTTCCAAGGATGAGTTCTAAAGAAGTGGGAAGCCACATTTATGTGGCTGAACTCTTGAGGCTAGCTGCAGCACCTCAAAGCTGAGGGCAGGGCTAGCCAACCTTGCCAAGCTAGCAATTGAGGCCACATGTTGCACATGTGGGCCAGGCTGGAACAACAGCCTACATGGCAGCATGTGGCACACCATAGGAGCCAACAAGGTGAGTATGGGATGGGTGGACAGATGGCAATGCCAACTGTGACCACACTTCACTGTGGGTGAGTGTGGTGGAGTGTGGGAGTGTCATGTTCGGCATAATGAGAAGAGAAGGTGCTGCCGATGAGAGTTGAACCCGCGACCACTAAGACCAAAGGTACCCACTGGGACATTCTTGCTTCCACAACAGATACCATAAGTGGCACCGTTCTGAATATTACACAAGCACACCAAAGCAACAATGAAGCCGATAGCGCTAGTGAAGCAACAGTAAGCAGGCAAATTTATGGTTGCAGCAGCTATTCCAAGAGGGAATACTCACTCTCACATTGGGGAGTCAGAGGCAGGATTCCATAGCTCTGGAGGGAATGTGTGTGCTGATACTGGGGCTGGTTGGATAAATGTTTATGCTCACAACTTCACAGGTGCGGATCTTGTTCAGCTGGCAATCGAGTGGGCGTTTAAACAGGTTGACCTATAGAAGGGGATTCTGTCAGCCAGCAGCTCTGGCCAGAAAGGCGATATTAGATTGGGGTTGACTGGTTTTAAGGGTTTTCTTTTGATTTGTTTTTTTTTTTTGTGAATCCAAGACATGATATGTTTATGATGGAACTAATAAACGCTTTACCTGGTAAGATTGCACCTTTGATCGTCACTGTCAGCTTGATTTCAAAGTTTCCCACTTTCGTCATCCTCCCATGTACGGAATAACCATCCTCGCCCATGTAACTTGTCGCCTGATTGTTGCAGGACCGTATTTCGAGGCTAATGAGCAGATATCGGCTGCGGAAGAACCTGGTACCCACGAGGTTACCAATGTGAGTGGCGGGCTGGACAGCTGACATATCGATGCTGTCGGGAGAGATCTCCTGCTCCGCCAATGTTGGTCACCGCCGTGCACCGTCTCCATCCCTAGCCCGGGAGTCAAAAGTGCACAGTGGTTCAGCCATATGTGCCAAAGTGTACCTGGATAGAGGATATTGAAATCCCCCCAGTGTCACCGGCTGTCCTCCCCTGCTCCGCTGTCATACAGCGCTGTGAAAAGGTGGGTCTGGCTATACGTAGAACGTAGGTCTGCCAATCAGGCCGACCCTACACCTGCCTGCCGTTGCTGCAGCCGGAATCTCCCCACGAGTTCCACCCCGAATGGATCTCGAGTCAAATATGTGCTGGTGCATACGCTCCCTCCTCACACGAAGCTTCATATGGGACCACCATGAGTTATGAACCACGGCAATGGGTTTCCATTCTTCCTGCCACAGATCCGCACACTCGACCCACTGCTGCCACCTCCCTTGGTCCCGGACGCACCTGTCTCTCCTGGGTGAACTTTCCCCTGTCCACATTTCTTCCTAGGACACAGCCACCGCCACTGGTGCCATGCCAGCCTCCTTGTGGACGGGCAGGCTGAAGCTGTAGCAAAGAGGATGGAGCTTGTGGCTATCGTAGGCTCAGGAGGAGGCCAGCAAGTTCCTCATGAGCTCTCCCGCATGCTTGTGGAGCACAAGGTCTGTTCGGGGCGCTTTCTACTTGCGTTTCAAGGAGGTGCGTGTGCTGGCGGAGTTTCGCTGCAGTTGCATTGCATTATGCTGTAGATGGCTGCAAGTCTGCTGCTGTGGGGTTGGGGGAAACTTTGGTGGAGGCAACCCGGATGACAAGCTTGGGTCCTCCCACCTGACACGTGAGCTGGCACTGGTGAGTAGCATTGAAATCGAGTAGGAGCACATATGGTCTGCAGTCACTGTATTCAAACGGATATTCTTGCTCGTTCCTACATCACAACCACTGGAAGGAGCACAACATATGGATAAGGCAATGAAAAGCTTTCTACTTTATGTGAATGTGGTGGTAAAACGCAAGATCCACATACATCTGGCAGCAAACTGGCATCTCTATGTGGATTTGACAGATTGTGGCGAGGCATACAAGCTCGTTCTGGTTCGATTGGTTTGCGTATCATAGATGAGCCACAGGCCTAATTAGCTGCCCACTCATCTCATCGGCCAGTCGGCTCGTTGTGCAATGGAACGACTAAGCTGGTCATAGGCCAATGCTCAACCCCACTATGTGTAGGAGCCTTGCATTTGAGAGTCATTTCCAACAGCTCCAAATGCTCATATGGCCGAGCTTGGACCCTCTAGTCATGATGTACTTCAAATTGAATGGCGTGGGACAGCGTGGTTGGGCCAGCCTGTTTGGAACACGTTCCGGACAGCCTATCAGCCTCGCAATTACTAGCCCAGCCTGTTGAGTCAGCTTGCTGCAGAAAATTCATGTACAATGACTAGTTGTATCATGATCTGAGCCCAACAGCTAGTCGCCTTGCTGCAGATCTCTGGCAAACTTGTTGTAGAACTGACCTACCATAGCCCCCCCCCCCCCCCCCCCCCCCCTTTAGGCCCTGGTCTAGCGGGCTAGCTCGACCCAGCGCCAGCCCGTGGTCATGCCTAGCATGTATGCTTGTTCTCAAATCAAGTTTACTTGCTGTCGCCATCGCAGTCCCTCTAATTTTTGAACATGTACGACGTCATGTTGGCTCTCTTTCCTATTCCCTTCACGATACTCACAATGACTCGAGGTTGCTTAGGCTGCCGATGGTGGATGGAATAGACCCACTCAGAGAATTGTTGTGAAGAAACCTAATGATACAACATAAAAAGGATGTATGGGCGCACAAGAACATACAATACAGCAAGAAAACAATACC